TGAGCGATATTTCTAATTGTTGCACGCAGCTTAAACTGTACGATGAAACAGCAGGGTTTAAAGTTCACAGCTCACAATGTTTGATCTCAAACTGTGGGACCCGACGCTCTGATGCGTTCTACCTGCTCACACTGTACGTCTAAAATCCACCCGTCAGACTCTGGCGCTGGTCGTCAATCTGGAGGTAGTAGTAGAAGAACTCCCTGGTTTGCACATGCTCAGTGTGTGAGGTTTTGTTAAATTGTCTCATAGCTCTGCTTTAACAGCAGGATTTACCCACCAACTGAGTGAAACCACCTTCTTAATGGTTTTGTTCCATTCAGCCAATCTACTTCTTGCTCTGAGGCTCCCCTTGTGCTCGGTGTTGGCTGCATGTTGCTCAGGTTGTGTCTTAACTGGTCTGATCTGGTCTCAGAGCAGTTTCAGACCACTGGCTTAGTCACCTGTGTCCGTTCAGCCTGCCCAGGCAGAAGGCGGTGTTTTCTAACAGTAGGAGAAAGTTCTGTTAAGGTTCCAGGATTCTCTGCAGGTAATCAAGCCTCCACTGGACCTGTTGGACTGGGATCTTCTCACTTCCTTACCTTCTCTTCCTGGCCCTCCCTCTTCCTGTTTGTGTGTCCACCTTTTCACACCTGGTTGCCGTGGTAACCCCCTGTGCGAAACCCGAGCGGTCGCTGCAGCTGGCCGTCACCTGAGATACCTCTGAATGTTTGATGAGCTTCATCAGAACCTTGGAGCTAAAGTACCGGAGCAGGTCAATGCTGGGAGAGGAACTGTGAAGACTCCAGCAGGTAACTCTTTCACCTTCACCTTGGTCTTCATTCTGCATCCGTCAGCTGCTAGCTCTAGTTATACAGTTCTGCAGGGCACTGTTGATGACCCTTTAGACAGAAGCCTCCATCTGGCTTTGTTAGGGGACTGACATCTTCTAAGTCACCCGTTGCTGTGCAGGACCTCTTGGCTCTCTGTCAGTTGAGGCCCCAAGGCACGGAGACCTGCTGCTGGTTGATTTCAGAAGTTTCTTCTGACTTATCTTCTGTTCTAAGTCTATCTAGTTTGTGTCTAGCAGCTCCAGGTTGACCCATGATAAACTTTTAGGATGTTATCAGACCATCATCTTGTTGCTGTTGCTCCATTTCTACCGACCAACCCAGCCCAGAAAAGGTTTCCTGATCTAAAGGGATGAGATGCTCCTCCATGAATAGCAGTGTCTTTTGGTACGGCATGTGAGCTGGCTCTGTCCTGACTTATGCGGGTTTCAGTTTGCTGAGCGTTTGGTTCATAGATGGACTCCTCTCTGATCGATGACTCCTTTGTTTGGCTCCATCTCAGGAGGCCACTGGATGAAGATAAGCGGAGCCAAAGAAGCATCAGGAGGAGAACTTTAAAAAGCCTTGCTTATTGCTTCTTTTTCTTAAACGTTGACTCCACCTGATTCCACCTCACTGCTTTTCTACTCCATCCATAGTGTAGATCTGCAGCACCGTGGTGACGGACCGTAGTAGCCACGATTGTTCAGCCATGTCTTTGTCCAAATACGTCGTCTCCTTTTCTTTTTAGGGCTTTCAGCACAAAATAGCCCAAATATCCAAGGCAGCGCGTTTCACTCTAGTGAGTTTCATATTCCTCTGCTACTGGTTTGGCTTCTGGATAGACGAGTCCGAGTAGCGCCATCTCACTGCGGAGCTGAGTCCCACCTGGTGTTTAGACGTACAGTGTGAGCAGGTAGATCGCATCAGAGCGTCGCGTCCCACAGTGTGAGAACAAACATGGTGAGCTGGGAACTTTTAAACCCTGCGGTTTGGTCCACAATATGAGCTGTAGCTGCGTGCACCGATTGAAAATATTGCAGTGTATGCCGGCTTTAATTACTCCTCGGCTCTCCTTTCAGTCAATTATTCTGTTTTGTCAGGATTCCTGCAAGGTTTTTTCTTGCTAAGTCAGTCTCCTTAGTTCAGGTCCACCATCAGAACCTTGGGTTTATGTTATCAGACCCACCTGGTTCCTGGTTCACCAGTCACCTTCTAACCAATTGCATTCTGATAAGTTCAAGAGCACTTCGCTCTCAATCTGCAGGTTTACTAGTGGTTCCTAGAATTTCTAAAAGTAGAATGGGAGGCAGATCTTTTAGTTCTCAGGCTCCTCTCCTGTGGAACCAACTACCAGTTTTAGTCCGTGAGGCAGACACCCTGTCTACTTTTAAGGCTAGGCTTAAAACTTTCCTTTTTGATAAAGCTTCTAGTTAGAGTGGCTCAGGTTATCCTGATCTATCTCTATAGTTCTGCTGCTATAGGCTTAGACTGCTGGAGGACATAGGGACCCCTTTTTCATCATTCTGCTTCATTCTATCTCTATAGTTCTGCTGCTGTATGCTTAGACTGCTGGAGGACATAGGGACCCCTTTTTCATCATTCTGCTTCATTCTATCTCTATAGTTCTGCTGCTGTATGCTTAGACTGCTGGAGGACATAGGGACAGCCTTTCCTTTTTATTAAACTTATAGTCAGAAAGCCTCAGGCAATCCTGAACAAACTGTTCGTCCTTTAAACACATCATGGTAGCAGGTATCCTCTGAATGGGAATTTCTGTAACAACTGTAGAAGAAGTAGCTTTGCACAATACAAAAAAACGGTAGAAGTCAAAGACTTCATGTGAAATATTAAAGTGTAGATCCTGTCCCAGTCTCACATCACAAGCGCACAGCTATCGAGGACATTGGTATATTTGGGTACGGCTTATTTTAATCCTGTCTGCTCTGGTTTTATTGTTCTATAACTTCATCCTGACCATACCATTTTCTGAGTTTATTGGGTATTTGATGTTTCTGTTGTCCTAAGTAACAGCTTGCTGCAAACTGAAGGAATTCCAGTTTCTAACTGATGTTAGGTGATGGACGGGTGTGACATCACTGGCTGGTTTCAGCTGGGCGGAGGCTGCATCAAAGTGTGTGATGTTCATTTCTCTACAGGTGATGGTATCGGGATGTCTGACGGGAAGCAGCGAAGCCTGTCCACCTCCGGGGAGTCTCTGTATCACATCCTTGGTCTGGAGAAAGGCTGTGCCCATGATGACATCAAAAAGTCCTACAGGTGAGGCCCCCTCTCTCCTGGCCCCGCCCACTCAGCTGTTGAAGCATGTAGAAGGAAGGCCACTTTATCTATTTAATACATCTCTGTAAAAGACAATGAAGGGTCAGACATCTCTTTGATGAAGACTAGGTAGATGGTTCACCTTTGAGGACCTCTGCCAGTTGGACTCCCGAGCTGAAGCAGCTTGTTACAATAAGCTAGGTTTTTTTGTAATTTCTGAGCTTCCAGTTAAGTCCTGTTTGTGCTGTCAGGAAGTTGGCGCTGCGGTACCATCCTGATAAGAACCCGGACAACCCGGAGGCAGCCGAGAAGTTCAAGGAACTCAACAATGCTCACTCTGTGCTGTCTGACCTTACCAAGAGGAACATCTACGATGCATATGGCTCCCTGGGACTCTATGTGGCCCAGCAGTTCGGAGAGGACAATGTCAACACCTACTTCATGCTGTCCACCTGGTGGGCCAAGGTAGGGGTGGAGCTTAAAGGACCTGACTCATCAGGAGTGAGGCGTTATGCCTGACGGCAGCTTTCTCTTCCAGGGTCTGTTCCTGCTCTGCGGCATTCTGACCGGATGCTACTGTGGCTGCTGCTTGTGCTGCTGCTGCAATTGCTGTTGTGGAAAACTCAAACCCACTGCCACTGGGGAGGGGGCGGAGCCAGACTATGTCTCCCCTGATGACCTGGAGGAGGAGATTCGAAACAGTCCTGACAATGGTAAGATTTGCTAGGATTATTTTTTATTATGCGTTTTAAACCCTAATAATACCGGCCTCATATGTGCTAAGGCTAATCTTTTCCTAAGCAGTTTAGGTAATAAGGACAATATTTGGAAATGAAACCGGAGGATACAGATGGAGTGAATTATCACTAACAGGGAACTCAGTCCCTGAGCATCGGGATTTTCCTTGAACTAGAACACTGTTACCTCGACAAGACTGGAGCCCGTAACGTCTCATCATCTGTATGATGTAACGAAGTGGCCGGGTGTGACTCTGGAGACGTATAAAAAGCTTCTCTAACTCATATTCTGGGCAGTCTTTCTGAAGAGGCGAGCCTAGTGGGAAGCACTGCCATTAGTAACCTGAGCCCTTTCTCTGGTCTGAAGAAGATAAATGCTGTAAACCTGCCGGCGCGTCTCATTTAATACGTATACATTACAAAGTCTTATTCAGAGCATTCTTCCCACGTGATCTCTTCTCAGGAAAGAAGGTTTTACTGCCACAATTTCAGTCTACATATTTTATTTAATTTATGCATATTTTTGTGTTATTAGAACATTTATTGCTTGAAATTTCCAAGTAGGAACTAACATGCAGAATGTAGATTCTGCTGGAGCACCTGAGGAAGAGGCGGACCCCTGATGAAGCATGAGGTTTCTAGAATTTCCTTCTTTCATCTGAGGAATATTGCAAAAATGAGCAATCTCCTGTCCAGGGGTGATGCTGAGAAACTAGTCCATGCATTTGTTACTTCAAGGCTGGACTATTGTAATTCTTTACTATCAGGAAGTCCACAAACTGTAGTTAAAAGCCTTCAGCTGATCCAAAATGCTGCAGCCAGAGTTCTGATGAAAATGAAAAAGAGAGATCATATCTCTCCTATCCTGGCTTCTCTTCATTGGCTTCCTGTTAAATCCAGAATAGAATTTAAAATCCTCCTTCTCACATATAAAGCCTTAAATGGCCAAGCTCCATCTGATATCAGAGATCTGATTGTTCCTTATGTTCCTAACAGAGCACTTCGCTCTCAATCTGCAGGTTTACTAGTGGTTCCTAGAATTTCTAAAAGTAGAATGGGAGGCAGATCTTTTAGTTCTCAGGCTCCTCTCCTGTGGAACCAACTACCAGTTTTAGTCCGTGAGGCAGACACCCTGTCTACTTTTAAGGCTAGGCTTAAAACTTTCCTTTTTGATAAAGCTTCTAGTTAGAGTGGCTCAGGTTATCCTGATCTATCTCTATAGTTCTGCTGCTATAGGCTTAGACTGCTGGAGGACATAGGGACCCCTTTTTCATCATTCTGCTTCATTCTATCTCTATAGTTCTGCTGCTATAGGCTTAGACTGCTGGAGGACATAGGGACCCCTTTTTCATCATTCTGCTTCATTCTATCTCTATAGTTCTGCTGCTATAGGCTTAGACTGCTGGAGGACATAGGGACCCCTTTTTCATCATTCTGCTTCATGCTATCTCTATTCTCCCACTCTGCAGAATCTGTTAGTTCAATCTTAACTTTTTTATCTCTGCTTTTTCTCATCATAGTAGCTTCTATTTCACTGCTGAACATAGTTATGGGTTCAGCTTTTACTGGGACTAACTTGATTTCCTCGCATTCTGTTGAGATAAAATCAGCCTCAGAGCAGCTGTGGAGCTAGTTTACTGTTGCCTTTTCTAACATAGAAAGTTTGTATGGATCTGTTTTTCTTTGTTCCTTTCCTATGTCTGCTTCTCTTGACTAAAAAGTAGTTTATACAAGTATACTAAAAGTGCACTAATTTCATACTTAAAATCAGGCAGTGCACTTAGAGTTTACTTATTCTAAACTATATTTCATATACTTATAACTATGGAGATGTTTTACTGTTAAAAGGGTGTTTTTTATCTCTCGGTTGCTGCATGGATGCTTGGTGTGATGCATTACTGCCGAGCCAATGACAGAATGCAAGATAATATCTACTGTTTGCACTTGCTCATCTGAGTGAAAAATACCCTGCTAGTCAATGACTTGATAAAATTAGCTGGTTTAATTAGACTTTGAACCTTTAATCTAACTGGAGGATCTGAACACTTTTAATTCACCCAACTAATATTGTTCCCCAGTGAGTTAATAGTTTGAGTTATTATTTTCCTATAAAGGTTTGGAGCTCTACCTTTGAAAGCACTTTGAAAATAAAATACATGATTAATATCATTATTATCACTTAGTTTAATGTAAGGTTTAAATGCTATGCGTCAGAACTGTTATTTCCTGGATCCTTGCTTCTTGTTCCATTCTGTTGGATCTGCAAATTTTTCCCATTATCCACAAGTAATTTTGTACAGTGGTGCCAACTCTGATAACTGGTGGAGATCCCTTTCTGTAGATTACTTACATCCGAGTAAAATCAAGTTCCTTCTACCTGCAGCCGCCCCCCTTGTGTTTTAGGGGTCCCCTCTAACTCCATCTTTGTGAACGGTCTTTTTGTTCCCTGGTGGAAAAACCAAATCTCTCATTAACCCCAGTAGAAACTGTTACTTCTCCAACTTTTACTCTTCATGTTATCTATTTTGTTCCTCTATGTGAATTGTAAATCGAAAAATTTGAGGCATGCTGATTGAAGATTTATTACAATCTCAAAAAATGAATAATTAAATTCACTTCAGATCTCCTGGTGATTAAGTCAGAAGTCCTCCATCTCTTAAAGCTCTCTTTGGGTTGAGGCCAGAACATAATGCCAGTGTCATGAAACAAGACAGATGGACCCACTATTCAAGGCCAGACAGTCAGTAGGAAAGTTCAAAACATTTATTTAAACAAAACAAGAACAGAACAGAAGTGTGGCGTCGTGGACTGCAGCGACTGCAGGGGGTGTGGCACCAGCCATCACTGGCACTCTTGATGTTGGAGAAACATAAGTAAGTGACCAAAATCATCTGACGGAAAATGATAATCTGAGTCACTTACCTGGTTTAACATTTCAGTCCATCCTATCCAAGGAAGGCATAATCCAGCCAATGGGCTGTCAAACGAGCAGTGGTGCAAAGCCGCCCAGAGAGTGTCCCTGATGAAGCAACCTCAGTGACCAGGCAGGAATCCGATCCAGGTCAGGGATACAGATCAGAAAGGAAAAGTTATGGAACCAGGAGTCCATAGCCCACACAGGAACAGAACAGATCCAGGGTTTCAGGAATTCACAGAGCATTAGAGCAGGTTCAGAGTTCCATGTGTCCAGCAGCAGCCAGAAACGCTCAGTTTGAGACAGGCAGGCTCAGTGGTTGAGGGACAGAGACAAGACATGGTACCAGGAATAATTGCAGAAACTTTAAACTTGTCTCCAACTAGGAGCCAGGCTTACAGGACTTAAAACCAACCTTCCCCGCAATCCGAGCCAAAACCCTGAGGGCTACACGGAGAGGAGCCGGGACACGATCAAAAGACAAGACAAACAGCAAACCCCGGGCCCCAAGAAACAGAAACAGAAACAGCGACTAACGAAAAACCAAAACACAAAAAAAAAAAACAACCAACAAACAAAAAACAAAAAACAAACAAGCACCGAGACCTGAAAGCAACACCGAACAGAGAACAAAGAGAACAGGGAAAAAAGAAAAAAGATAAATAAAAAGCAGAGAGGGTATGGCAGGTGAATGAAGTGAGTAATAAGATCAGCTACTGGGGCTGATCATGACAGCCAGGTTTATCTGACACTTCTGTCATAACCGCTCCCAGAAAGTCAGTCAAGTAGATCCTGTTTGTGACACCAACTGTTGAGTCTTATTTAACAAGAAAATGAGATTTGTGTTTCTATTCAAGCAGAATTTGTTAATCCTTGCTAGTACGAACAGATACAGTCTTACCAATGTTCCAGTCTGTTTTTATTGACTAGTTAAGAAACATAAGGAGAGATTCTCACAGGCAAAGTATGCTGTTACCAACAACCAGAAGCATTCGTAGAAATAACCTTCAGTCTGAAGAAGTCTAGACCCACAGTCAGCCTTGTCTAGCAGTTCCTTTGCAAGAGCGAATACTTTTCAAAGTAATTCGATAAAAATCAGCACTCATAATCAATATTAGAAGGGATGTGATATGAAAAAGATTTTTTCTGACCACATGTGAGAGTGTGGTCCTGTCCTGCCTGGGATTGGTCCGATCTGGCTGCTTGGCCATGGGGATATCCCTTTGGCTGACTGGTCAGAGTGCCTTTACTATGGAGCATTTGGGATCAAATCCTACCCTGACCCTGTGTTGCCTACCTTGCCACACAGATATTTGCTGAGATCTCCTGGTGTGCTTGCTTGCAGATGTTGAGACTCCAATGGTTCACCAGCCAAGCAGCGCCAGCGAGAAGACGCAGCTGATTGGAGATGGACACCGCAGATATGGAGACACCTACACCTGAAGCAGGGAGCTGACAGGAAACTCAGCGCGTGTGAATATTTAAAATGTCTGTTCTAATAACCCCAAACACTCTAATAATTCAAACACCATATCACCTGAGACCAACACCTGAGGCCTTCCACATAATAAATCCAGGAGACGGCCCAAACAATAGAACACCTAAGTCTAATAGCTAAGATGTCCCAAACAATGAACGACTGTAGACAAGGGGAAGGCAGCTCCGGTCCTGAGGGGCTGGTGTACTCCATGGTTTAGATGTGTCCCTGCTTCAGCACACCTTATTTGATTCATGAACTGTAATCACCTGATTAAGGTGTGTTAAAGGTAGAGAAACATATTAATGACAAAGGAACTCCCTGCAATACACACCCAAAACGGTCTAGTCATTCAACCTTGTGTGCTGAAATAGCAGCAATCCCCTCTAAGCAGGAACCAGTCTGACCTTTAGTGAACCAATCTCTGTTGGATTTCCTCAGTGTCTGAAACCCCTTTTAGTTACAGTGTCTCAATAAACTCCTGCTCTGATTGGCTGTTTAATGGGCAGAGTCAGCCTAGAGGCAGAACTTTTAACTCTCCTCTAACCAAGAAGAACGTTACTACTGTTACCTTCCAGAGGAGAGAGCAGTGGTCATGTGACCTCCCCTCAGTTTGTAAAAAAACTCAAATAAAGGACTTAAGTGTGAGTCAGTGTCAGTCTGGTCTGTTCCAATGATAGGGACAGTAGTTTGTTTGACTCATCTGACCAGTTCAGTGATTTATTCAAAAGGTTTGTTGATTGAGTCAATCAGTTCATGCAATGATATTTCCTGTTCCTATAAAGGTAAAATGGGCAATAGGGGTGGCTTTAGCGGCCTTAGCAGTGCTAATAGACCTTTAATTGTCAAGGTTAAGTGGAGGTTTTATGGACCCAAATGCAGAGGCGAGGAGACAGAGGGGAGCTTTGAAGATTTAATGAAGATCCAGAGGTCAACAGACGCAAAACTATCCAGAAGTATAAAAGGTGAAAACCAAAAAAATCAGTAAACATCGGAGAAAACTCGTGGAGAGCCAGAGACCAGGAAGCAACTAACAATCAACAACAATCCAGCAAACAATGACTGAACATTAGGAGCTCAATCGTGCCTTGAGATGACATGTGTTGTGAATTGGCGCTATATAAATGATCTGAGACTGAACAAATCAGCAGATTGTGAGCAGGTGTGGAAAGGGGAGTCTAAAAGGGAACTAGAGAAAATTAGACTGACACAAGGAGGCAGCAGAGGGCAAACAACTCTAAGATCTCAATTACAATTAAAAAATAACTAGAAAAACAAAAATGGAAATAAAACTGATAAACTAAAAAAACACAGAAAGACATGAATCAAAGTATAACTGAAAACTGAAAAAGAAAACATGATAGAACCAAAAAGTGCAGAATCATGACATTAAAAGCGTTTTATGATCCCTAAAATAGACAAATATCAGAAAGGCTTTTTGGGCTCTCATCTTATTCATTTATTATTTTCTATGTTTCTATGTTAGAGAAGGTAATGGTAGATGGGTGGCTCTATCTGGGAAAGAAGCAGTTTAGAGGCGTAGAGAAGCAACAAGTATTTGTTTGTGATATATTTCAGGCCCTGTGCTTCTCTATTTGGACATGTAAGCTATGCTGAACATGCGCTTGAGGAGTAGTTTATGAGCATCTGTATGAAATAAAGATGCTCGCAGGAGTATTTATTGTGTGTCTGGATGTCGTGGGAAAAAGTATTCAACTATTCATTCTAGTTAAATAAACGGAGATCAATGGATTTCACTCAGTCGGCACATTTATTCATATCTTTGTAAAGATATATAATAGAAGAGAGATAAAAATTATCCAACAACAGGTAGCCAGTGGCCACCCTGTGCAGTGCCCTGACCACCCCACTGCTGGCCCTACTGCTTGAAGACGGTTAGCCATGGGTCACATCTGGAAGAAAGCGCTTCTATAAGAAATGAATGAAAAACACTGAGAGTGAAAGAAACTTTTTTTTTTGGTCCAATATAACCTTAGAGGCATTAATGCTGACACTGGCACTGACATTTTTTAGTTTATAAACCTAAATATATAATTGTTAACAAGGCTTATTCACTTTTGAACTTAACTTTTTAACTTTTCAATTTCTGTTTTTGTTCTTGACTCGTCAGCTTTTTGTCCAACTTAATTTCCAGTAGGTATTATATCAGTGAAGGGCTCATCTAATTGGTCAAATGCCAAAACCAGGTGAACACCAATGAAGCAGGATCTCTGCTGAATGGCTGGATATAGATCTAGTGCTTCTAGACCTCACCGAGGAATGCAGGGGACTCCATCTGTAAAGGGACTGCAAGTGATCAAAAATGGTAATTTGCCCTTTAAAGGTTTAAGGAATTAAGGTAATTGTTCAAAACTATAAGAGGTTATGTAGGTCTCTGTTATGTAGAGTTTTTATTGGATCTGATGTTAATCTGGGGGGGGGGTCTCCTTACCATCATGTTTACTGTTACATGTTTTACTCATGCAGTAAACAGCAAACTCCAAGAATAAAACTAGGTGAAATAGAGTTAGGTGGGATAGAGCTAATAGAGCTAGGTGGGATAGAGCTAATAGAGCTAGGTGGGATAGAGCTAATAGAGCTAGGTGGGATAGAGCTAGGTGGGATAGAGCTAATAGAGCTAGGTGACATAGAGCTAGGTGGGAAGCAGTGGAGTATTCTGCTCTGGATCTATAAAGACCCTCTGGTTGTTCTCTGCTGACCTCAGTCTGACCAGCAGAGGGAGCTGTTGGCTTCCATCCTGCCCCCCCCCCTCTCATCTGTCCCCTGTTTACCTCTGAC